CAAACGAGCCGAACACGAACACACTTTTTGAGCTCGAAATAAAACCGAGCCGAACACGAGCTGATTATGGCTCGATAGTGTTCGGCTCGTTTACATCCCTACCCACATATATGTAAGACTGGTAATGAAGAAACCCAGTTTTATGAAGATTTATAAAAAAATTTTATGCTTAACTTTTTATATGTTATAGAATAGAATGTCATGAGGGTCTATTTGATGAGAAATATTTGCGTACGTCTAACGTACGTAGAGTTGCGTACGTCGGTAGGTTACAAGAAGGATATTTGAGGGTTATATCCGTGTTATACCCCCTGTAACTTCTCTATAACCTACTTGTAACTTATAATATATGAAAACAAAAGTGCGGAATTTACTAGTTGCAGGTAGGTTACAAGAATGTTACATGGGGTATAACACGGATATAACCCTCAAATACCCTCCATGTAACCTACCGACGTATGCAACTCTACGTACGTTAGACGTACACAGATATTTCTCCTATTTGAGGCATCTGTTGTTTATTAAAAAAACTGTTGTGAAGCCTTTGAAAAAGAATTTGATGTTTAAAAAACTGCGGTGGCTATTACAAATATTTTTTTTAATGAGAAGCAGTTAGAAAACTGTCACCGCACATATCCAGGGCAGATAGGAAAATGCAGATTTCAACGGTAACATTTTGAAAAATATGTCTAGACGCAGTTTACCCCAAACAGACAAGATTGCGATGCGGTGCAACACCGCCGCCTCAAACGCACTCTAATATATTGACTTTAAGAAATTAATTTTAGTAGCTATTTTATTTTGTAGAATATTTTGTATATTTAAGTAAGCGTATTGAACCTGATAAATTTCACTATATAATAAAAAAAAAAACTTTAAATTATTCGTCTGAATATTATATAAAAATGATTTTATAAATTATGATTTTATTTTGTGTATATTAATTTATCTCATAAATAATATTGTTGGTCGTACATGCGTATGTTTATTAATTTTTGCAACATGTCGGTGATATACCGATATTCACATATGTTAAATTGTTGCTATTTTTATGCTTCCGTAAAAAAAAATATATCTACCTGAAAAAATAATTAAATTTAATTAATAGCAAAAGATCTGTTTGGGGCATATTGAGTAATTTGATGATAAGTTGATTAAAAATAACTTGTTAATAAGTTAGGTGTGTTGGCTTTTATAAATTTTTATTTTTTTCAGAAAAGTCAGACAGTTGTTAGAAAGCTGTCACCGCGCTTAGATATGTGCGGTGTGAAAATGCTGTTTTCAACGTTTCGAAAACGCATAAGCTGTCAAAATACAATTTAGATGTATTTTCAAAATATCACCGCATCAAATAAACTGCTCCAAAAGTAAATCTATAATTTAAAAATAATAAAAAAATAATAACTTCTTTTTTATCGGGAATGAGCCGAATTTTTTTCTTTTTTTCTTAGTCCAAATTTATCTGGCAGGTAATCAGCCAACAAGCTATTTATGTTTGCTCAGCTCTCGTTATCCTCTTCCTGGCCTCAATTCGCATGAAGCCCCGTCTCTGCGCCGCTTGACGGCCGCCGCCGGCGATGGCCCTCGGTTTGTTCTCCCTTTCTCCTCGCATTCTTCTCCCTCCATCGTTCTCAACATCATCGCTCTCTATCCAACCTCTCCGACTCCTAGATGGACGGCTTTTAATGGCGTACTGCCGCCGGAGCTGGTGTAGGAAATGGCCTCTCGAAGGAGTTAGGGAGAAAAGTATTTGCGTTGCATGTTCTGGTTCGCCTCGCGGCGTGGACAGCGGTGACGAGAATGAGGAAGAGAGCGAAGAGGAAGATGAAGTGGATGAGTCTATGATGGCTTCTACTTCACCGGAGAGATGGGATGCCCTAGGTCTTGGGCAGGCGATGGTACTAATTTTTTGAAGTTTTCTTTTTCCTTCTTCTATTCTATCCCGATGTTATGGATTTGGAGTTTGTTTGTTTGTTTTTTTTAGCTGCTTGGATACTTGAGTAGACATGTTCGATTTCTCATTTGGAGGTGGACAATCCAAGTATTTATAAATATGTCTCGTTGAGAGAAGTTTATGTAATTTAGATTTGGAACTGGCGATTTTCGACTATCACTGTCTAGGGAAATTTTGATTTGTATGCATCTTAGATGTGAAGCGCCATTTTTTGGTATCTGAATTAGAGAATGATCCATGCAATTCAGTGATATCGATTTGAATTCCTATTGATACTTCTTTCTGCCCAGACTGAAATCAAGGGGTATTTGCAAACGTGTGGTTCAGCAAAAGTTTTGTAATTTTTCTGGTTTGTTTAGCTTTTAATTCAGCAAAAATCTTGGATGTCATTCAAAACTGTTATTTGGGTTAAATATTGCTCTAGCTTTGAATTCTCTATGCTGTATCATAGTTCAATTTCTCTGTAAATAGTATCATGTTTATTGAAAATCATTCACAATTAAAACATTAATACTAAATTATCCTGTCAGGCGACTATTTAACTAAGAGAGTTTGAGGACTAATTGACACTTTTACAAGCTCTGAAACTAAAATGACTCTCTGCAAAAGAGTCAGGGGACCATTTTGACATTTTTCTCAAATTCTTATGCAATATTCAATGTTGCTTTGTACAAATAAAGTTTATTGTTCCTAATCTCGCTGACACCGAAAAGGATTTCTCTAGGTGGATTTTTCAGGTATGGTAGATGATGAATTTTTAGAGCAGTTAGATCTAGAGAAGGGCACAAGGAAAGTTATAAATCATGAAGAAAGAGGAAGAGTATTACGAGCAATGGATGGCTGCAGTTATAAGGCTGCTGCAGGGGGCTCACTTTCAAACACATTAGTGGCATTGGCTAGACTAGGTAGCCATTCCATTGATGGTCTTCAATTAAATGTTGCGATGGCGGGCAGTGTAGGCAGCGATCCGCTGGGTGGATTTTATAGGTATTTAATCTTCTTTGTCAAGCACTATGCTGTGCAACTAGTAATTCTCTATTAGTCCCAAAAAAAATGAAACAAATTAAAGTCTTAACTCATCGCGAATTGTCAATTGTAATGTGTGTGTGTATAGAAATCTGAAAACATTAACTTCCTGTTTTCATCTTTGGGGCATTTACATACAGACCTCCTACCACCCAAGTTGTATGCACTTACATATATAACACCTATACTTGTTACATTTAAGCCACCCAAAATTTTCATCACATAAAAAATATCACCTTTTTAACTTTCAAAAAGTAAAATTCACCTTTTCATGCATAGGTAAAGTGATATGAATGTAAAAATTGAAGTTTAGGTGTTAGATATGCAATTATATAGAAATTGATTGCTGTGAATGTAAATCTTAATTTATCTTTTACAGAGACTTCGTTTGGACATTTTTGGTTTCAATCAATACAAAGAAGCGGCATTTACTGAAGTATATTTCCTATTTAGGTTTAGTTTTGCAATTCAAACTATTCGGATGTTTATGCTAGAAGTCCGATTCATTCCTAAATGAATTAGTTTTCCAATATAGGAAAGCTCTCTTTTGCCACCACAAGCTCTTCACAGCATCACATATGTGTTGGTAAATAAGCTCTTAGCTTCAACAAGGTCCTTTTTGTTATTTTTAGTTTGGTAAATACGGTATTGTATTATTCTATTTGCTTTCTTAATATCCAGAAGATTGTTGTCAAAATTTATATATTTTATTGCGAGCAAGTGTGCATTAATTATTTTTCAAATGATTGTGTTAGAAAATATTTTAATAAAAGAAATATTTTTCGAACATATACGATAATCCTTTTTTTCTTAAATAAATTAGAATTTTTTTACTAGTTTTTAATACAAGCTAAAAGATAATTGTATGTTGCTATAGATTTTTATAAAGTGTCAAATGCAAAAATATACTCTTAAGGTTCTTTTATAGGCTTTAAATATCCAATTTCAATATTTATTGTAAAATCACTGTTTGTTATAAAGTTAGTCTTATGAACCTTGTAGGGCAAAGCTGCAGCGAGCGAACGTGAACTTTCTCTCTAAGTCTGTTAAGGATGGAACGACAGGAACCGTCATAGTTCTTACCACACCAGATGCTCAGCGAACGATGCTTGCATATCAGGTTAGCTTCTTTCTCTCTGATGTTCCAGAAGCTCTTTCATATTACATGAGTTTTCATTGTATTTAATGAGCCCTCTCATAGTCCCATTTTTGTGCATGTTGTTGCATATTCCAGGCTTTCAAGCAAGAATTCATCAAACCCAAATAATCTTTGTAACTTGTGAATGATTGAGGAAATGACAAACATACATACAAATTTGTTTCAAGCAATGGATAATTTACTTAGATATCATGTAATGCTTATGTATTTACAAATCTCACACCTAAACTTAGATATCATGTAATGCTTATGTATTTACAAATCTCACACCTGAATTTTCATATTTACATACATAATACTTTGATGCTTTAAATTTGTATATGAAACTGTGTATTTCACTTTTAAATTGTGATAATACTGTTATTTTTTATGTGATATTGAAGATTTGAGTGTTACATGTGTAAATATGAAAGCTTAGCTGTGAGATTTGTAAGTACATAAGAATATTGTGCTATGTATGTGAATGCTCCTCGAAAGATTTAAGCCACTTTCTTGGTCATGAGACCTTAGGCATATGTCTCCTCTCCTCGCCACCCCCATTGATTTCTCTCACCATCTCCGTGAGAAAGTTGAAACTAGATTTCTGGGGAACAGAATAAAGGATTTGTAAACAAGGAGATAATAATGAAGCATAGGGAGTTTTATTAATTTGTGTCGCTTTGGACTCCAAAAGCTTCTTGGACACATAAAGCTTGGGTGTAGATGTTAGGCATTTTTTAGATTCTTTAGGAAATTGTACTGCGGAGTTTTCCTTTTTTTTATCTTTATAATAAAAATTGTAATTCTTAAAATCAGGATTGCTATCAAGTGTTGATAAATATTATCATAGATGCATAAATTTTGTATTTTGTTATTGTAATTTTGATTTTTTAGAACAATGCATGCTACACAAACATCCAAACTTATGATATGTAAAATTTAAAATAACTTTATATTTTATAATTTAAAAATTATATTATAATCTATTACTGTAAATTCATCGAAATTGAACATTAAAACTGCTAAAACCGTTTGAACAAATGAAACAAAATATTAATGTTGGGTCTGAAAACTACACCAAGTGCTAAAATAATGGTAATGATCAGATGAAATTACATTCTAATTCTTCTTCACTTTATTCATCACTTGATTTTACATTTAACATGTAATGACATAATGATTGAATTTTTCATATTTATCACTGCTTGGAGAAGTCATTTTGCAAAAGCTGATAAATACCTGTGGCTCTTTTTAATCCACCGTTTCCCAAAGTTTGGATCAAAATGAATGATCTTATGAAGCTTTTTTTTTCCATATTTATATGATCTGGTACATAATTCTAAACTTTGAACGCTCACATCTATTTTTTTTAAATTTTTTATTGTCCAGGGCACCTCTTCTAGTGTAGATTATGACTCTTTCTTGGCGAAACTCGTCTCCAAAACAAGAATACTCATAATAGAAGGTTACCTGCTAGAACTTCCCCACACAATCAATACTATATTCAGGGCCTGTGAAGATGCTCGAAAGCATGGAGCTCTAATAGCTGTAACAGCATCGGACATCTCTTGCATTGAGAGATCCTATGCTCATTTTTGGTATTTTTATCTCACTCCATCTACATATATACCACAACGTTCTTATGTATTTACATATCTAACACCTGAACATTCATATCTCACGCATACCACTCAAAACCTCAACATCACATCAAAAATACCACTATCACTATCTCTTTTAAATTCATATACGCGTTTTCATGCATAAGCTTATGACACCAAGGCGTTATAACTGTAAATATCAAACTTTGGGGTGTTAGATATGTAAATAGATTAGATTTGTGTGGTATGTATGTAAATTTCCCTAATTCTATTTAGTTAATTTGAATTGATATCAATCAGGGAAAGCTGATTTGATCTGCTTGGCAGGGAAATTATCAGCAGTCATGTAGATATAGTCTTCTCCAACACCAATGAAGCAATCTCTCTCTGTAATCTAACCTCAAAGGATAGTCCAATAGCAGCTGCTAGATATCTTAGTAACTTTGTGCCTCTTGTCTCAGTAACAGATGGTCCTCATGGGTCTTACATAGGTGTGAATGGCGAAGCTGTTTACATTCCCCCATCAGCATGTGTGCCCATTGGCACGTGTGGAGCTGGTGATGCATATGCTTCAGGTGACATTTTCTTGAGCACTTTTGATGATGAAATAAGTATTTTGAGCGTAGGGATGTATAACTATAGGAGAATTTAAGGGTAAAATTTATATAATTTATATGAGAGTAGTGTTATAATGGTCCCCTCACTCTTTGCAGTGGTCATTTTAGTCTCAAAATTTATAAAAATGTCAATTTAATCCACAAATTCTTTTAATATGGATTAAAATAGTCAACAATGAGAACTATTTTAGCCTTCATTAAAATGATTCGGAGACTAATTTAGCTTTTTTATAAACTCTAGACTAAAATGGCCCAATGTAAATAGTCAAGAGACTTTTTTGAAACTTTACCGACTATTTTTTATTATCATAGGTGGATTTTCTCAAATCCAATGAATGGGAGAGATTTTCAGTAGGGCCTTCCCTCCTTGGCTCCATTATTAAGCTTGATTCAAATGACTTTGCTTTTATGATATACATAGTTTTATGTGAATTTAAGGGTAACCCTTCACTGATTTCTTGGTCAAACTGATTGCAACCGAAATGTCAAATCCAAAAAACAAAACCAATCAAAAGTTTGATAAAATTGAACCGGAAAAATACAAATTTAATTTGGTTTAAACGGTTTGATCACGAACAAATCGAAATTTAGTTGTTAGCTGGAATTCAATTATGAATAGACATCAAGAATTACATATGTTACGTAAATGATACCGATTTAATTTCATGAATTCACCACTTAACTTTGAATTTCGGTTTGTTTGGTTAAATGAAAATTAAAACCGAACCAATAATCAAAAACTAAATAATGAGATTTAAAAATAAAATACATTTTTGAAGCCAAATTTGTTTGGTTTGTCTTGGCTTTGACCGGATAATCCTCACCCTGAATTTTGAATTACCGTGCAAAACTGTGCATGTATTTAACTCTAAAATTTCCTCTTAATGCTACAGGTATCTTGTATGGAATTCTGAAAGGGGTTTCGGATTTGAAAGGTATCGGCATGCTGGCCTCGAGGGTGGCGGCGGTGGTGGTGGGGCAGCAGGGAGCTCGCCTGAAGGTTGTGGATGCTGGAAGACTAGTGAAGTCTTTTGTGCATCATCTAGAGAGCTCAGATTTCTGCTCTGATCTGGAGTCTGACCACATATCCAGCTTCTGATCCTATTTATTCCAGATTACCAAGATTCACATTTTACTGAATGCAATTAACGTTTAGAATTTGTTATTTATGATTGAATCAGTCAAATATTTTGTATGCAAAAAAAAAAAAATGTAGAATTTTTTCATGTAAGAAGTAAATAAGTCTTACTTACTGTAGTGAAAATTTCATGGAAGTTGTTAGTTTCTGCAACTTTGGCTTAGTATGGTTCCTCAGTCATATTTAGTTTTGATGGGATCAAAATTTTAAATTAATCACTATCTGTCATTTCCTTGTATGAAATGTCTATTCATCTATACATATTTAGTTCTTTCATGCCATTCTGAACTTTGGGCAAGTTTGATGGTGGACATATATTGTCTTAATATGTCATTATATGTCCCTTTCTTTTAGTTTTTAAATTTTCTAATATAATTTTAATCCATGTAAATTAACGCACTCTAAATGATTCATCCGGAAGACACTTGGTCTTCGGATAACATTTTCATAATAAACACATGAATTTGTACCACATGAATTTAAGGCATTGTTCATTCATTATTTAGTAGTTCTAAGTTTTTCAACACTGCCCCTTAAACTAGATGAGAGAGATCTAATGCTATATATTCATTTGTGATGTTGTTAAATATAGGGTTGCAAAGCTCTACCATTTTTTTACTTGAAATGACTATTTATCTCTAAGTGTTTTGTTTAGTCATGTTATATTGAATTGTGGGTAATTTTGATGGTGGGCATATATTGTCTTTATATGTCATTATATGTCATTTCTTTTTAATTTTTAAATTTTCTAATATAATTTCAATCCATATGGATTCACACACTTTAAATGATTCATCAATCAATATTCAAAGCTTAACTTTCATACAACATTTTTTTAATAACTTTTTTGTGTTATTGTATTCTGTTTTGCCGCGTGCTTTGTTATAAATGGCTTTTTTTTTTATCAATTAGTGATATCACATAGTTAGTAACATCATAACCTTCAATTTATAGGGTATAGTTAGCGCGAACATAATCTTCAATTTATAGGATTTTATGTTTCTTATAAATTATTATCATGTTAAGTATAAGATTCGTGACACTCTTTTTTCATGTTTGTTATGAATATATGATTTTACTCTTTTCGTAATGAGCAAATGAACTCGTGGCACATAAATTTTAGGCATTGTTCATTCACTATTTAGTAACTCTTAATTTTTTAAAACTACACCTAAAATTATATGAGGCAGATCTAATGTTATATATTTACTTATAATCATTTTGAATATAGGATTACAAAGCCCTTTGATAAATATGTCAGAAACAAAACTTTTTATTTGAACATACAATGTACAAGTTAATCACTATCAACCATTTTCATATGTCAGAAACAAAACTTTTTGTGTTGTCATATTTTATTTTGTAGTGTGCTTTGTCATAAATGAATTTTTTTATCTATCAATAATTCCACATAGTTGGTGCCAATATAACCTTTAATTTATAAGGTTTTATGTTTCATATAAAAATTCTTTTTTTTTTCCTACAATATTTGATGTTTAGATATATTAGAACTCTATAAGTAACTTAAAGGTGAATTTGATTTAATTTTGTATATAAATTGATTTGTAAGACTTGCAACAAAAGCATTTTCAGGATGAATGTGAGTTAAATACATGACATTCTCAATTAATTTGTGATATTATCCAACATCTCCTTAGGTTTATTTATATCTCATTTCAAATAAGTCTTTTATAAATTTGTCAACTATTGCCTTTGAGAATTAAAATACTAATTTTTAAATATATATATATATATATATAATATTTTCCACATCATATTATTATATGGACTATCTGAGATTAGTAGCCATAGCAACTAGGAGGCAAATTATACTCATTTTAGTATTCAACATAGCTTTATATTCTACATAGCTTTGTATTAGAGTTCCATCAAAACAATATAAATTATGATTTCATACTTGTTTTATGGCAAAGATATAAAAATAAAATAATATTTTAGTTCAAAATGAATTTTTGGGCATATTTTCCTTAAAAAAAATAGTAAATTTATTTAATCAGTTTTTTATTAGTATGAGACATCAAATCATATTTTATATTACATAGATACTACAAATTATTATGTAGTTATATCTTATTTAGCACTCTAAATTTTAAATGATATAATAATTGCTAATATCAGTTTATGCACACATACTAACAAATAAATGAAAATTGAAAGACGCTTTTACATAACTACTACCAAAACTACAACTGATACATTTATTAAGGGTCCATTTGGGGCAACTTATTTGGTGCAGTGACGTTTTGAAAACACCTGATCTGTTTGGGTAAACTGCGTTTTGGTAGCTTATGCGTTTTCAAAACGCTGCGCACATGTCTAGGTGCAATGACATCTTCTTGACTGCGGTCTGGCTTTTCCAAAAAAATAAAAAATTATAATAGCTACCGCACCTAGCTTATCAGCAGATTATTCAATAAGTTGCAGCTGTCCCAAACTGACTCTAAATCTTAACCATACATGAAAATATGTATTTCAATATTTTAAAAAATAAAATAATGATAATGTTGATGTAATATGAAAGATTATATATTTACATATATATAAATACATTAAAATTGAGTGGTATGTATGTAAATGCCTCATAAAAATTCTATCATTTAGTAAAAATCTCGGTCACAGTTTCCCATCAGCTTTCCGCTCTACTCGACCATATCGAACATAATAAAATCGTTGGGAGCTCCGGGACGAAGGGTGCTTCTGCACTTGGCTTACGGTACTATTCCTGCAAATCGAGCCATAGTTCCTCGCTTCCATGGCGACTTCTTCAGCGATTCTATCAGTTGCCGGTGAGCGTTTCCTTTGTAGATCACAAGCTATCCACTAGTTTGAATCAGACCCTGAGGTTTAGGATTTTGCCATCGTGATCTTTGAGGGGTCTCTTGTGTTGCAAGTAATTAAACATGTTTTAGCGATCTCTTATCAATTTTGATTTGGTTTGTTGGTGCTTATCTTCGCTTTGGTTATTTCATTTAATTTTATTTATTTTCGTCTCACTACTTTGAAATAAGTTTCGTATTTGCGCGATTGTTTCTTTGTTTTCTGACAAATAGTTGATTTCAGCTTAGGGGCTGCTTGGTTGTCTTCAAAATGGGGTGATGATGATGAGTTTATATTGTTAAACTTTTAAGTCTTTCTGTAAAGATTTACGGGCTGTTTGTGACACCATTTTAGGGCTCCTAGATGGTGTTATGGAAGTGGATCTTGGGGGAAAGGGGAAATATCCGAAGAAAAATTAACAATATGTTAGCTTACTAACAGATAATAAGTTACACTTTAACAAAGGGATATATAACACAAATTCCATAGTTAGTCCGGTTGTTAACACAACCGATCTTTTACCGACAATAGATGTACAAGAGCCATCAGCAATTTTAACGGAGAAACTGCAAAGTACAGGCGGCAAGGAGGTTCCACCACTTGTTTTGAGCAAGATATAGACACACCATTTGCAATATGCGGAGGATATAACATACTTTAGAGCGAAGATTAGAGAAAACAATCTCCAAAAACACCAAAACAAAGCTAAAAGCATCAAACAACCAAAATCCAAATATAAGAAAATACCCTAATATAAAATAAACCTAATTAAAATAGCAGGATAGGAGAAAAAAAACTCAAAAAAGTAAAAAATTTGTTGAAAGTTGGGAACGGTAGAAATTTCGAGTGGAAATCATCATCCTATGGTTGCGGGATGTTTTGCGATCACATGGATCCGAGGGTATGCAAAAATTTACTCATCCCGCATTACTCTCTCAGGGTAGTAGAGGCTTATGGTTCTTCTCTTGAAGTAGTGAGATCCTATTGCCTATTGTACTTTCCCACAAAATATATAAAGAGATTTTCAAAAATAAAGTTCTCCACTACTATCTAGCCATTTTATTGAGGTTGTGTTACTTAACTAAATTGGAGCTTAATACCAAGCTTATCCATAGTCTTCTGTTCAAAACATTCTTCTCTGTAAAAAATTTCTCAGTAGGGTTACCATATATCTGGCATTGCTTTCTTGAAGTCATCTCTTTGTTGGACAACCACTGCTACACTTGTTGGTGCTCATCTCAAAGCCTGCATAAAATAGTTCGGGTCACTGCATCATCGAACACCTCAAATTTCATCCAAGGCAAATCTATAATGCACTTCCAATATTTAGTGAAAGAATTTGTTCTTGTAGTTATCATAATATGCACAATGATTATACTGTTAGTAACAATCTAAGAGGATGTGACACACATCCATGTGTACCACGTCGCATCACACTGGCTCTTGGAACTTGTCTCCAATGGAAATCTTCACGAGACATATATTGTCAATTATGATTTTGTTTTTTTTTCTTAACCATGATAAGGAATAAAATTGGATGCCCATGTTCAATTTGTCTGATCATCTGTGCGATACCATATTTTCATAATTGTTTCAATCTATAACAAGGCTGTACACCTTTTTCTGCACGGTATAATGAGTATGAAAATTATTGCGGCAGAGCTACTGCTGCTCTCTCGTGGGCTTAGTTTGAAGAACTTGTCAGATTACTGGTCCCTCGTCGACTAGAAGTTACTACTCTTTATTTGCTTTATCACCTCATGTATCTCCTGTATCACTGTCTATATATTTTCACCACTATTTACTAAATAAACAAAATAATTCTCTTGTTTGGGCAATCAGATGCAATGTGCTCAAAATCGTGACGCTTATAATACTTTTTAGCTAGGATGAATTTGGGAGTATTGGAAGTTTCCACTTTTTCTCTACTGTTAACTGATATTTTCTTTGGTAGGGCCGTCTTTGATGCTCTACTGGGTGTACTTTTGTTGCTTGATCAGGAGATTGAACTTTGCCTGTGACATGTGGTGGTTGTTGGTGAAATTACTCTTTCACCTTCACGGCTTGGATCTGTACATCAAGTAGAGACTAATGTAGTTGTAGTTGTGTCGTATTATTAATAACTAAATTTAGTCCTCCAAGATACCTAGCCGCTATGCGCTCCTCTTATTCTACTAACTCATATTTCAACATGAGTTGATCAAAATCAGTTGTGTACTCCTCTCCACAGAATAATGTCTCTGGTGTAAGCTGTGGAGTTTTATGAATATATCCCGTCAATAGTATAGGAGAAAACATTTGCGCTGCATTTCCCTTTTTATTTTAGATTAAGTGGTAATATTACTCTTCAATTTTTGTTGTTCAATAAACTTGAGGCTCTTTCATTGTAAGGAATCATTATTCCTTAACTTAATAATGGCTAGCTTGATCCTTCTGTCAAGTGGAGCTTCCTTATACTCAAAAACCCGTTTCATTGTATGGAGCCACTCGAACTCAGCTGGATCCGTGCAACTGTCAAAATTTAACCAGTTAATCTTCACTCAAACATCCTTGCTTTTCCTATGATATTCCATGCTAAATCATCGAGATATTGGTTCTTCATCACTAGAAATTTTATGGTTAAAAGATTCACTTTTTCCTCTTGATTTGTTGAGTTATCATTGTGGCTACATGTGACCTCATCTGGTTGTCTCCTCTTAAAGCAGACACATCTCTATTATAGTTGGAGAATTTTCTATTAATAAGTTATTGGTAAACTCTGAGTGTTTCTCTTAAGCGACGTTATATCCTTCTCTCTCAATTAGAATTTCGACGGATTTAAGATTGCAAGTCAATGTTGGTCGGGGGCTTAGATTTTGGTTGTAGGCGTCGGGGTGGCATAGTTAGGAAAGTTGGCTTTTAAAAATTTTTGGTTAGTTCTAGGAATTGTATTATGATTGGTTAGGGTATGGTGGAGTTTTTTTTTATTGAAGGGATATTAGGTTAGGCTTTTTTAAAATTTTAATTTGGGACACGAAAGACAAATCCTTAAAAATTTAGGGTTTCTTGAGCCCTGATAGCAGATTACACCATTTTAGGGCTCCTAGAAGGTGTGTAGGAAGTGCTTCTAGAGGACAAGAGAATTAGAAAATGGGAGGATGGTGTTTGAAAGGGTATATGGGTGCACTTAGCTGTTCGACAACATATTAGTGGAGTTCGGCTTTATTTGAACCGTGGACAGACAATGTGCAAAAGGAAGATTATAAAACATTTATTAGAGCATAAATTAAAAAATAAAATATCCAAAAATACCAAAACAAAGCTAAAATTCTCAAACAACCAAAATCAAACTATATAAAAATATCCTAATAGAAACTAAACTTAATTAGAAATAACAGAATAGGAATAAAATTGAAAAAGGAAAATAATATGTTGACAATTGGGAAAAGTAGGAATTCTGGGCAGAAATCGTCACCCTACGGCCGTGGGATGTTCTGCGATCACGCGGATCAACGAGAACATAAAAATTTCACGTTCGTGTCTTGCATCACTCTTTTCGGATAGGAGATATTTCATCTTCTCTTAAAATACTCATATCCCACTATTAGATGTACTTTCTCATAATACACTTAAGGAGATTTTCAAAATCGTGGTTCACCACTACTGTCCGATCATTTGTCCGTGGGAGTGCCACTGAACTGAAATTTAATACTAAGCTTATTATATAGTCTTACAGAAATAGTTTCAAATTTTTCCATCTCTATTTGAAATGATGCACACTTGACTGTTCTCAATAGAAGATGCCCTGTATCTCCTTCTTGGACAACCAATGTTAGACTTGTTGGGTACTACTCTCAAATCCCATGGAAAGAGAGTTCAGAGCACCACATTCTCAAACACCTCAAGCTCCTTCCAAGATAAAAATACAATTTGCTTCTCATTTTTGGTAAAAGACTGTGTTATTGTAGATAGCATGATATGTGCAACGATCATACTACCAATGACGACCTAAGAGAACACTCACCTCCATAAACATGCCATACCACACTAGCTATAGGAATTTGCTCCGGTAGAAACCTCCAATAGACACCTTTTGTCAACTGCGATTTTATTCTCTATTTCTAACCATGACAAAGAATAAGGTTGGGTGCACGTGTATGTAGCCAGGTTCAATTTGTCAATCACCTGTGTAGATGCATCATCTTTATAATTTCTCTATCTATAATGAGACTACACACCTTAATTTTATTGATAGGAAGAGGGTATAAAAACATGACCCAAATAAAAGGAAATACATAAATTCAAAAATTGACCAACTAAGAAATACATAAAATATGGAAACAAAAAATAAAATAAGAAAATAAAAGCTAATAATAACTGAATCAGTAGTTAGCCTAATAATGAGACTAATAATCCTAATACTTCCCCTCAAGTTGAAGCATAGTCATTATATTCAACTTGGATTTGAATTCGTAAACAATGACCAAGGAAGATTCTTGGTAAGGATATCCGCTAATTGACTATTGGATGAGACAAATATAATACAAATCTCCCCTGAATCGAGCTTCTCCTTAATGACGTGTCTGTTAATCTCCACATGCTTGGTTCAATCATGCTGGATCATATTATGGGCAATAGTAATGACATCTTTATTATCACTGAACAGCTGAAAAGGAGCAGAGACTGATATACATAATTCACAAAGCTTGATGCGTAACCAAAGAGCTTTATAAATATCCAAGGATATGGAACAAATCTCGGCTACAACATTACTCCGGGTGACAACCGACTGTTTTTTGCTTTTTTGCGTGACAAAATTTTTCTATATGAATGAGCAATATTCTGAGGTGGATCGCCAATCATGGATAGACCCAACCCAATATGCATCTGTATAAACAACAAAAAAACTAAATGCATGGCTCAAGAAAAATAAACTAGAGCCTGATGTGACTTTTAAGTAGTGAAGGATCCTGCAGATAACTTGAGGATG